ATTTCATACCACGGCATGATGGCGTGACATTCACACGTTATTCATGCTTAAACTATAACTCAAGACGTGAACACTGGGATCTTCATGCATCTGGAAATTGTTACCAAAGACGATCCAGATTCCTCTTCCTGATATTTGAGCTGCTTTTTCCTTCGTACTTCTCTGATGTCACACAATGGAAGCAGTGCGTTTAAGTTGTTGCCGCCATTGAAGTTGAATATTGTGAATTAATCTACCAGAAGCTAGAAGCTTTGGCAAAATGTTTACTTCCTACTTCGAAGAAAGTAACAGAAAAACCTCTCTGGGAAAAATGAACCGTCGACTAATTTCTGTTAACACAAACTTTTCTTGTCTCTCTTGTACAACGCAAGTTATATTAATGTTACTATAAGGTGAAATTTTTAAGATTAAATAGTGGATGCAGTAGAAAAAGCGCTCACCTCGCTGCGATGGCCCACCAAGGTCTTAAAGCAGTGCTGCGTGTCCAGGTCCCACCACTTCACAAAGCTGTCCTTGGAGCTGGATGGCAGCACAGGACACACAGAAACACAGTTTGACAAATACCGGCGCACTTATTGTGACAAACTCCTTATAAGACTTTTGATTTTATCGATAGAAATTGATGCATTTCAATCAACGACGCTTTAGAAACTACTGCAGGGAAAACCTGCTGAGCCCGGTGGTCAGTCATCCAGCAGGCTGCTGTGTTTTTGAGTTAAAAAATGTTGAAAATTGACAGGAAATTTGAAAATAATACAATAATTATTTGTAAATGTGTTATTGTAAGACATTAACAAAACCCAAACAGCAACTTTAAGATCTTAGAAAAAACAAACAAAAAACACCAAAGGGAGAATAAGATTTTTTTTTTCTATTCTTTTCTAAAGAATCAATTTCTTTCAATTATTCAATTATTGATAACTGTAATTCTAACTGGACAAAGTCAATAAGACTTTTATACGTTTACAGAACAAACTCCAACAGTTGTTTAAGCTCAGATTGACCAATGGAAGACGTTTTGTTCCACCCGCAGCAGCAGCAGGAGCTAATGGCCGTTACCTTGAGACCAGGAGGTTCTTGTCTTTAAGGAACAAGGCCTGCGTGATGACGTCCTTATGTCCCCTCAGCCGATACAGTCCACACTCGTTGATGATGTCCCACACGATCACATCTGTGTCCTGAAGAGGCAAACAGGAAGCAGAGAGAAACGCTGCAACCAATCAGCGAGAACCAGAATTCGACCTGGCAGTGCAATTAAACGATTGCTGTGACTTGAGAAAGTCTTCTTGGACGTCTTCGCATGTCGTCATGTTACAGCCACAGACCTTCCTGCGTTTCATTAGGGCTTCGTGGGACAGACCAACACAAAGTGCCTGGGAAATGGAAGTGTAACGATTCTGCTCTGAAAGTCGACTTCTGTGAACAGCATATCTAACATATTACCAAAGAAGGCCACACAAATTAAATAACAAAGTTACTGTTGTTCAACTGCAACATGCATTAACATTAAGGTCCTTTTAATAGGCCTGAACTAAAAATATGTCCAACTTAACCTTCCTTATGTATCTTTCTTTTGCCTTTTCTCTCCCTCTACTTTGTACAGTGGCTCTCTTCACAGGTAGGCGGTGGCAGTATTGGTTTTCCAAAAGAGTAAATTTTGACATTTCATGAGATTTACATTCATTTCAAGCTGATTATGATTATTACAGAGACTTCATCATTCGTTTCATTTTCTGTTTCTGTTGTTTTGTTTATTTATTTAGGATATTACAAATGTCTTCCAGTTCCAGCGTTAAATGTTCAACGCAAATTTAATGTTTATTGATCTTTCAGAACGTTTCCTTGCATTATTACACCATCATATCACCTGAAAATGGTCTCAAACAGCAATATTATTTATCCCAAGAACTTTTGGGACAATTCATCGTCCAGCAACATTTGCTAATGTGACAGGCCTGAGCATACGTCTGCAAATCTAGGATGTATTTACATATATGTTTATATATTATACGTTTTACATAGATTTAGCATAAATTAAAGAAGAAGAAACTTTGTTCTGAAGGTGTGTCGGCTTTTGTTTTTTGCCGTGACAGTGCAAAAAAAAAAAAACATGCAAACATCACTAGATCAAATAAAAACAAGTCACTGTAGCTCTGGGAACTCCGCCCAGTCTTTGTGATGACCCGTCAGGGTAAATTACCATGGAATTTGACAAAATGCGACTAAAAATGTCAAGTGTGTGACTCCTCTGCAGCCTTCTGGTGTTAATCGTGTCAACGTTACCTTGGAGCCGGTGACGAGTCGCGCCCCCAGAGCGTCGTAGTTCATCACCGTGACACCGGACTTGTGACCGTTGAAGGAAACATTGCTCTCCCCGCTCAGCAGGTTGAAGATCCGCACCATGCCATCCTCGTAACCCACGGCGATGTGAACGCCGTCCGGAGACGGGCAGAGGAAGCTCACCTCGTGTTTCTGGCCCTGCAGGATCAGGACCTGGGCAAGAGAGACGGCAAATTCTGCCTGAGTCGGCTGCGGACAATTCGCCAAAGCCGAGCAAGCCACCGCCCTGAAGTCTCACCTTCTCTCCTTTTCGGACGTCCCAGACGAAGACATGTTCGCACGCGGCCACGGCAACGTAGCGGCCCTTCTCCCCGCCACGAAGCGTGACGTAGGCGATGTTGGCCCGCTGGCTGCCGATGACGCCGAACACGGCGCTGGCGGCATAGCGCAGGTACTGTTTGGTCAAACCCATGACCAGCAGCCGGAGGTGCTGGATCCTGCAGCACAGCAACACAGGAATCTTTATTTACTCACAGTCCAAAGACAACGACTCGATCAGATCAGCATGGCTTCCACTGGTGGGTAACATTAATGTTCTAACACATTAATGGGATCTGAACTAAAGCTAAGAAATACAACAAAAGAGCACTGTTCAATCCATTGTTCAAAAAAAATAAATAAAGGAACCTTATGGCAAAGATGGCCACCCCATTAAACTGACAGGACAATACAAAAACATGCCACACTATTCAGATAGTGCAACTTAAACAATGAAGTTTAGCTGATGGTGGCAACATGACGCTTTGCTGTGGGAAGGTTAGAAAACCTTCAAGGGTCTGAATACTCACTGGAAGCAATTTTCTAAATTTCCTGGAAACATTTCAAATGTTTGTATTTTGCAATTACGGTGTCACTAACATGTTTTAGGAGCTCTATTGTGGCTTTTAATATAAATAACCCACAACATAAACGTTCAAACTCCCTAATGTAAAACACACGTGTTTTGCTTCACATGCTGAATCCTGTCCGTGGAAACTATTCCTCCACTGAGCGTCTCATGCTTTACAGTTCGGGCTTTTCCTGCTTTCACATATTTATTTTTTACGTACATTTCTGTACATGATTTCAGTCGCCATGGTAAAGGGGTGGGGGAGGCTTGTTTTGTTTCATTGGGTGTGGAGTTGAGTTTGAGCTTTTCCTCGCTTAAAACAACCAAAGGCCCGTTAAACTCCGCTCACGCAAATTGCACAGAGTACTATGAATCGAGTGCACTCTTGCCGAGCCGCCTGCGCTTCTATACGCACGTGGCTGTGTTCAGTTTAAATGAGCTTATTATAGACTACAGAAACGTATAATTATGTATTTTGAAGCGTCAGACAACATTAATCTCTCGCTACAGTACTCTTTCGACGTGTCAGTCTGTGTTCTTACCTTTGAAATGTGGCGCAGAGCTGCTAACTTGTGTTTTCTTCCTCGACCCGCTGTGTCTGAGTCAGACCTGACGCATCGATCCCAGATCGATTTAAAAACCTCTTAATGATGATTTTAAGAACCACTCCTTTATTTTCCTGGTACAGTAATTACACACGAATAGTACAGTACATGATGACATATGATTCTAGACATACTTTGATGCAGAAATGACCGTATTCGTGTTTACTTTTATGGTTGTCGATTACGCTCAATCTGTTGCTTTTGCCTGCGACACCAGGACAAACTTCATGACGTTACCGTTGTGAGAAAAGAAAGGAAATATTTATCGCATGCTAGTTTTTGAGGACATGTTTTATTTGTGAGTAGTTCTTGGCTTGGATTCGCAGCTATGCTGTGCAGAAAGTTTCCCAACAAGTTCCAGTACAACTACAACGGAAGTGCTTGTGTGTACCAGTCAGCTGATTCACAAAGACGAACAAACGAGTCAAACACACGACAAATAATGCAATCTGTACCGGAAAAGTGTTGGTAATGTGAACAAAATAAAACAGCGTTGATCAGCTATCAATTTGTCACAAAATTCATGTCAATCCACACCCTGTCAGCAATTTCCTATTAATCTCTGTTGCCCTACGTGTCATCTTCTCCCGTTCCTTAATCCAATTTATATGTTTCTTTCCTGAGGTACCTGGGGAAAAAAATCTAACAGAAATCTTTTGCTGCATACTGCATACTTCTTTCTTCATATTTATCTGCTTGGTAATATCTCCAGATATGAAGAGTCATAATTCAAGAATGAATTATGACCCAAATGCTTTTAAGGGACAAGTTAAAGAAATTCAGCTGACACACTGAAAAGTTTTTTTTAATTAAGCCGAATGCAGTTAAAAGTAGCAAATTAAATGTTATAAATGACATTTCTGTAGAAATTACATGTTACAATAATTTAGCAGTATAAGAAATAGCTTTATTACAAAAATAACATTATCTTTTTCTGCTTCCCCACAACCCTTGATTTTCCATATATTTTCCATACAGAAAATATATTTGTTGAAAATGCATTTCAACATAAATTTATTTTCCGTCTATATTTTTTAAATATATAGACGGAAAATACATTTATAATGACAAATTTCACAGGGGAAATTTTAAAAAAATGGCTGAAAAACAAAAATGAAAACAAACTCACTGATTCTAATTTGCTATTTGACCACTTTTAGTTTGAAATTCCCCAATCGGGTGTTTCTGGTACGCTGCGGCTTCGACGTACGTCGTTGCGTCATTGTGCTACTGACATGTTTGCTAACTGAGTGGACCATGGTGATGGGGACTTTATAGCTCAGTTTCTCTTGCTGTTGGAGTCAATTTCTTGAATAAAATGACGACTCAACGTAAAAACAATCCCGCCTGAGCTTTGAAGGTATTGGTTCAATATTTCTACGTGTTCTTATTTTAAATAGTTCTTTATCGTGGACGCGGTTGGTAGGTGTTTGCTGATTCAGCTGGACAGCAATGCTAAATGTTTCAGAAATACTGCTCTTCATCTCTTAACAATTAGGTGTAAACTACAGCATTTTGAGACAGTTATTTAATTCATGATTTTTTTTTTACTAATAGAGATAATTTCTGATTGGTTTATTTATTTCGAGGCCTGCTCTCTCAAAAATGAATTACAGAAAATGGACCTATAATCTTGTAGAAATTTAAGTATACATTACTCGTCCAGTTTTTCTCCATTCTTCTTCGCATCATAACAGCTCAATCTCCGTCAGGCTGAAGGAAAAGCTTCTTTCAAATCCGTTTTCAGATCCTCAGTTGGGTCTGTGGTCTGTGATCGATGCCATCATACATCAGCTCTGTTTAGGTTGTTTTTCTGATTAAAAAAAAGAAAAAATGTGAACCTCCACCGCTGACACAAATCATCTGTGAACTGTCAAGTGAGACTAATCAACCCAGCAGCAAATGTTTTTGTTCTGTGGGAGGAAGCCGGAGTACCCAGAGAGAATCAGGCGTGCACAGGGTGAAGCCACACCCACAGCATGACTATTTTTTGTTGTCTTATAATAATCGGACTTGACAGAAACTGAAAATAGTTCCTGATTTCCCAGCAACAAAGTGTGCATCTTTCTCCTCCTCCATTGTTTACGTTTCTGATCAGCTCATGAATGTAGAAATGGCAGTCACTCCCCATGACGGGCAGAGGAAGTAAAATTACTAAAGAAAATAGTAATGTTCAGGATTTGGATTTGGACTCTTAGATTACTGGATTTGGAATAGTAAGGTGTTAGATTACTCGTTACTGAAAGAAGTGGTCAGATAAGACAAAATGAGGAGGTGGCACAGATGTGTACATGTAGAATTATTTTGAATACAATTGCTCCTTTGTTTCATGCTTCACTGCAACAAAAGGGTGAAGATCTTTGTTTTTGTAAAGTAAGGATTACCTGCTGGAAGGAAATTATTTTGTTGTTACAAAGACATTCAAAAGTTGTTGTTTGTTTTCTGAAATCCTATTTATAGTTTCCAGACAATAGAAACACGAAATCATGCATAAATTACTACATATATATTTTTTTGTACTGTTATAACCATAAAACAATCTCACCTTCAGTTCAATGTGGAGACACATTGTTGATGTAATCATTATAAAACAGCTTACAATGAAGTCTTGGGAAAGATCAAGGTGATGTTCAAAGGTGGCGGAGCGTTGTTGTTGTTGTTAACAGCTGCTGAAAGTAACTAAAAACGTTTCTTTTAATGTAACTTTGTTACTTTTCAAATCAAATAATCAGTAAACAAAGTTACTTTTTCGAGGAGTAATCAGTAATCTGATTAAAGTTACTTTCTCAAAGTAACTTTGCCATCACTGGTCTTAACACAGCAGATCACATTCTTCCAATTGCTTCAAGCTTCTCTTTTATCACTTTAATTAAGGGACTTTGATGTTAAACAAAACAGACATGTGGTTCATAAGTCACTGAGCGGCCTGGTTTGCGCTTTTGTGACGGCTCCGTGTGCTTTGCAGCTCCTGTGAGACGCCGTGCAAGCTTCTAGCGGCGGTCGGTGGGATGGATCCTCTGGGGGCTCGCTCCCAGTTTGTGGATATCCAGTCCCTTCCGGTGTGGCAACAGCAGCTGAGTGAGGAAGCCAAGGAGACGCCGCTGGACCAGGGGACGGCCCGCTGGACCACGAGGCCTTTCCCTCGCCCTTCCCGTTCAGACCGGACATCAACCGCAAGATCATCCTCTTGTGAGTCACTCGTGTGTTTCGTCACGCTCTAACTGCAGAGTGCAAAAATACAGAAAAATGTTTTTTTCTTTTGACTTTTGATATAAACTGTTGTGTTTTCCAGCCTCAGTTTAGATCGTTCCTGCTTCCATTTCTGAATCTGTTTACAGAGTAAAGTAAATTTCTCCCATAAACTTTTTCACCAGAGGCACAGAAAGAAACTGATTCTATAGAGAATCACATTTCCATCTAACGGGAATTCTTAATTCACTCAAAGTACTCAAAAATCGATTTTTGTCTGCCTAATTTTTTGCAAAATTATGTTTTGAATTATTCTTTGCTAGTTTATTATTATTAGTTAAGAAAAGAGACAACTAAGGTTAACCTCATACTGATAATTTAAGTTACTGATGGAATTCGATACACCATGGAGCTTTATAAAATTGTTTAAAATTAATGTTCTGTTTGTTTACATCGTCTTTGCCTCTGGTCAGTTAAAGACAAGAGGAAAAGCAACAGGACCTCTAGACTTTTGGAAAAGAAAAATTGGTTTCTGAACTAAAAGTTGTTTCTGGATCAAACATTGTTGTAATTGAATCGCAACCCTGAATATCCTAATGGAATCGAATCGAATAGGAGATTTGATTCAATTTCTATTTTTCACATTTTGTCATATTATGCAGTCAATTATTTATTTATTTTTTTGAATGAATTTATTGGTATTGTAGAAGAAAGGGAAACATAAAGGCAGACATCAGTGTGAGATGTAAGAAAATGGAAGTGTAGATTTCAAATGAATTAGCAATAAAATGTACAGAGTTTTCTAGTTGTTTCTTTGATGAGAAGTTGTAAGAAGATATTTCAACCCGACGCTCCACAGTTGTTGTCATTGGCCTGAATAATCTTTGGGACCAACACCGTTATCAGTCAAGTGAGCACTTTTAGACATGATTGGGCCTTTTTTTCACTGATGTTAGTGTTTAACTATTTCAATCCAGGCCGTTGTGATCTGACACAATGAGGCAGAAATCGATAGACATGTTTTTAACAGATTGGAATCTGCTGAACCACACTGCAAACGCAATTGACAGAAGAATCTGTATTGTAACCATGTCGCTGGTAACTCCTGCAGTTCTCTGTGACTTGATGAATATAAAAACTACTGGACCAAACTGTTTTTGTACCATGTGCCTCGCGGATGTTTCGAAGTCAGTTCCCAGTTTTAAATCTTTGACAGGAAGACGCAAAGTTACGCAATCATTTGTAGCACTGCTCCAAAAAATGTTTTAGTCTTCCTGCCATGAGCGGTCACAAGGCTGATGTCGCACGGAGAGAGAGGGATCACTATGAACAGACTTCCTATTTTAAAAGCAAAGACAAGGTGGAAACAGACAGGGCCTAGTGACATGGACATTAACATTTTTAATTGTGATAAAAGTGATAATGAACTGCTTACAACTTCTTTTTCAGTCCTGTTTAGGTGACAGTGTGGCTGCAGCTGCACGTCACAGCAAATGTAGCCCTATAAACAGAAATAGTCTTAAAAGACAAAACAGTTAAAAATGTTTATTCACATAAGGAACTGATATTATTTTCACTAAATCTGCAATATTGTATGAAATAAGTTTAAGTGGTTAAATAAAAAAAAATCTGCAGATTGTGACATTTTTTTGACTTGATTAATCATCATAATAATCAGTATTATGCTCGATTACTAAAATATTCATTAGCTGCTGTCATTTATGTTATATTCCACGCAACGCGACCGATCTACAGACTGATCTGAGCGCACATGTCTACGTGAGGGAGCGATAATGTGAGGCGTGTGCTTTTAAAGCTCTCGCTCAACGTGGGGACGTGTGCTCGGCTCCGTTTGGGGAAACAACTCTGCTGCTCTGAGCAAGCCGGGTTCTGGCCAAAATGTAAGATGAAGTTAGACAGACCACTGGGACGGTCGTCAGCAAGGAGAAACGGGAGATTAATCTTTTCCTCAAGTTAAAAAAAAAAGGAAGAAGAAATTTATAAGGGGGCAAACATTTTTCCACACTCCTGCAGTTTGAGGCAGCCATTTCACCAATGCTAACTTGATTCGATTACGTGTTTTTTGAGAAGTGGAAAAGTACCTCTCCACTTTTCACACGGACCGGTTTAGAATCAATGGACACCTTTAAAGACTTTTAAGGACGGCCGCATCATGTCCCCGGGCCTGACTGATTGTCTGCCTGTTGCAGCAGCTTCTCTGAAGGAGCCTTGTTGTTGCAGCGGCCCCCACCAGGAGGAGGCACATTCCTGCGCCAGTAACATGACTAGAACTCAGCAACCAGCGGCCCGCGAGCGGTGGCACCTTTTAGCTTGTGACCGTTCAAAACGAGCCGATGTGTCGCGGCTCTTTGTGAGGTCAACGGGACGGATTCCTTCTGCTGCTCACGCCAGTGTTTAAAGAACACAGGGGCCAGAGTGTGATTAGAAAACTGCAACATTTACGCTTCATCTCCACTGCTGCATTTGCAGGGTCTGTCAGCTCAATAGGTTTTCTCTATATGTTTGGCCCTGATTTACAAAGGAAATAGTAAAATGAGAATAGTCTGCCTGATAAACTGTGTAGATGATTGAATGCGATGTCATCAGTGATGACATTTGGCCTGTATGACACTGAAGTTTTTGGGGTGTTTTTGGAGCTTTTACTGCTCAGAGTCGACCTCTTTCCTAATTCACTCCATCTATTTTGACCCTTTCTGCTTTAATTTCCTTTTGTATCAGTTGACTCAGTTCTGGAAGGTCAAGTCGAAGGTCCGAATATCATGATAATTTTATGTGACCTGTTCTTTTTCTGTTATGTCATGTTTACGCCACATTTTACTGAAATGTGCTTTAACAAACAAACAAAAAAGAATCGGTTGCACAGGTTTGAATATTTATTTTTCTCAAATCTGGCTCAAAATTTCCCAACTCTGCGATCAATAAAGTAAATCTTATCTTAAATGACAGTTCGATATACACAGACAGCTCTATTAGCATTTGTTGAGGTTTCCCTCAGTAAGTTGCAGAAAACTTAAAATAAAAGTGACATTTCAGGCTGGATGTTTGGCTCTTGTTGCAAACAGCGAAGCCGTATGAGTGTTTCCTGCTTTGATCTAACCTGAAGCGAAGTCCATTAATTAGAGGCAGGAATGCGGTGGAAGCCAGTTTAGTGTTGTAAATCCTGCTTCCTTGTCCTGATCAGGTACTCAGTTGTGTCCAAGTTTCCACTATCTGTTGATGTAAATTTTGCAGGTAGGCCTTCTTCATGGTTCCTCAGTCTCTACTGTGTCTATTTTTAAAATGTGTCTCTCTAGAAAGCATTTCTACTTGCCTTCGGGAGCAGCAGTGAATATCTTCTGTGCTCTAAGGTATATGTCAAAGGTCAGCGGCCCCCACCAGGAGGAGGTTTGCTTAAATCCAATTTGAATGCAGGAGGTATTTAATAATTACACACTCAAAGGTGTGTAATTATTAAATCAGAACCATTGGCCATTAAATCCATTTAGTAAACCCCGTGCAAACTTGTTTTTTCCCCCTCTGCAATAATTTTTCATCCTTTCTTTACACGCATGAGGAGAGGTTTAATAATCCTTTTAGTCAGGATGGACCAAAGGATTAGGCTGACCAAAGGAAGTCTAAACGACTGCTTTGTTGTTCTTTTCTCTGCGACAGCCCCGGGGACGTTGCCCTGCTGAACTGCACTGCCATTGTGAACACCAGCAACGAGTCGCTGAACGACAAGAATCCAGTGTCGGACAGCATCCATCAGCTCGCCGGGCCTGAACTGAGGGAAGAGCTTGTGAAACTCAAAGGTAGAGCAAAAGGGAAGAGCAACAGAGAGGATAAAAGTAAATCACGAGGCAAAAGTTTCATATGGAGATTTGTACCTGTAGAGGCCAGGAGAGCTTATTTTAGTCATGTTAAGGTTTTATATGATAGACCAACACAAAATAGATGCACCGATCTGATACTAATATTGTTATCAATCCCGATATTGAAAATAATTGAAAATAAATGATTGGGTATCGTTGAGAATGTGACCAATCTATTCAGTCTAATGCTATGCTCTGCGCGACGGCAGGCTTATTTATTTTACATGGGCTCTTATGCTCCTAATTGACTGAGCAGATTAAAGTTGTGTTATTTTTACATGTTCCACCAGGCTTGTGAAGCTATTGGTGTATTTAAATGAGCTGAACTGGTGCAGAGTTATCAAACAGTAAGAATAATTCACTACATTTATTTCTGTGTTTTTAAAAAAGAAACGTCTTGAGTCAATTTAGCACTGTTTCCCTGTATCGGATCGTCATCAGCCAATACCAGACCTCAGATATCGGTGTCGGTATCAGAAGTGAGAGCAGTGAACCCCTGTATCTTTGTGAAGCAGAAGTTCCACCTGGTGTTTTGTGTGCAGGATGTCGGACTGGCGAGGCCAAGCTGACCAAAGGCTTCAACCTGGCGGCCCGGTTCATCATCCATACTGTGGGACCGAAGTACAAAGCCAAATACAGGACTGCAGCGGAGAGCTCTCTGTTCAGCTGCTACAGGAACGTCATGCAGCTGGCAGCGTAAGACCCAACAGTTCAATCGGCCACTCGCTCCGTCTGATCCGGGCCAGCTTCTTCACACACTCTCTGGTTCCATCTGGCCGGGAAACAACCCTGAATGATGTCCTGTCCTTCACTTTGTTAAACATTTCTTTTCCTCACAGATTGTGACCTGGTGCAATAAACATACTTGCTTTTTTTTTAAAGAAGCAATCTAATTCTTCCAGAAACAATACAATGAAAGTTTTGGCTCATTAATCAAATCTCAGCTGTTTTGGCTTTTGAAGTCAAAGTGAAGAAATTTAGAAAGTTTAGAAATTAGAAAGTGAAAAGCTACTCAGACGTTCCCTCTTTTCGGAAAACAACCTTTTAAATTTAGCTAGTTTTAAAATGCCTTTATGTTTCACTAAATAAGAATCTTAGGCCTTCTTCACATGTAGCTGGAACTTTATAAAAGTGAATATGTCTGCCACATAGTTTGAAAAGGTATCGCCATACACACTGGATTAGTTTTCATCCACACAAACCCACTGAATGACACCACTGAGCGTTGTTTTAAACATGCCAAACCCACAGGGGGCGGTGTAGTGCAGCGCTAAAACCTGTGCCAGTCGATGACAATCCTCCAAAACAACCACAACTTCCTGTTAGGATTTAAACATGGCGCCAGGAGATTCATTTGTGTGGTCAGACAGAGAGGTTAAACTAAATTTTATTATTATAAAAATGAGTAAAACTCAAGATGGTGTTGATTTGGATGCCATCGATTGGGATATATGGAGGTTGAGCAGCAGTTTGCCTTCATGTTGGGCCTGTAAAAACAGGCAAAAAGCATCTGAATGTCATGCATTTACCTCTGAATCTGTAGTTTCCAGTGTCCACACACAAATGCAAATAAGGAGGATTCTCAAATTTCCACTTCAGTTTTCATGAGCAATCGTTTTAATGACGGTAGAGTTTACATGTGGATGAAAAACTATTCTGGTTCCCAGAAATCTGGCTATGTGTAGACTAAGTCCCAAGTCTAACCACGCTGTATTTCCAAACTTTTCCCACCTTTTTACATATCACTATCTTGATTTAAACATTTCCCTGAGGTTTGATTGTCATTAGATTTTTTTTTTTTTATGCAAACAAACCCGTGAGAATGTTTTTGTTTTTTTCTCCTGTCCCTCGCAGAGAACAGTCGATGGCGTCTGTCGGTTTCTGCGTGCTGACCACCACCAAAAGAGGCTATCCACTGGAAGACGCTGCACACATCGCTTTCAGTAAGACCCGTCTATTCAGACTTTGAGGGAAACGCTGACTCTTCTCTTCTTTTACTCTCTGCTAGCGAGCCGTGTGGATTAAAAGACATATTGCGGCAGAGGAGATGGACAGTAAGAGAGTTTAAGAGGAACCACACCCAAGAACGACAACCACTCCCTGCCGATACATTCCACATCGGATTGAGTGGATCGGTGACAAGTTCCTGGTATTAGTTCTGTCATGGAAAGAAGTGATGTGACTTTGAGCTCAGTGAAAGCAAAGAAAACAGTTGGGTGCTAAAAGCTAACAGGCTAGTCAACGCCACAATGAATGTGGCTATCTAAATCAGCTCAGACTGAAAATGTTCCATCAGTGAAACACTGTCAGTGTAAAGTTAACAGTGTTTTCATCAACCGTTTTTATGTGCATTTTGAAGTATTGCATTAAAAAAGGTTGATTTTAAAATGCCAAAATTCAAAATGTCTTCCTCAATTTCTAAACAAAATGTTTTTAACGCTAACTTGAGGTGGTTTTTGGCTTTTCTGAGAAAATTTGATTCGCTTAATTGGAGATGGAAACACATTTGCCAAATGACCAAACGCTCTCTTCCACTGGTGAGTCTCTGCCTTGCCAGGGGCACAAAACTCAGAGATATGTGGTCCTGCAACTGCTACCGTTATTACCACCATGCACGACGTCTACATTTGACAAAATTACGCTTCGTGCAGCCCGGTTGATTCGCTCCAAACCAGTAGACGGAAATGCACCTTTTTGGGGGGTTTTTTTGGCTCAAAATTCTCATGAGAATCAGATGGGAACTAGTTAGCAGTCTAGTTTCAACCGAACAACATCTGTTCCTAATACTGCCACCTTGTTGGCATTATTAATCTGCCTAAACAAGAATGGCAGAAACTTTTAGATTTTGAATCAGACTTTTGGACCGAATCCAAAAAACATATCGGCATGTAACACAGTTTCCCTCAAAGTCTCTCTCTAGTTGGGTTTTTTGCAATTCTTCTTGGCGTTGCTTGGTGTAACTTCTAGGTATATTTGCCCATACATCTATTACAAAGTGACAGTGTCATTTTAAAACACCTATGTGAACAATTATCAACGTGACCGGTGTTTTAATAACGGTGACCCAAGCTACAGCAAATGTTACGTTTTCGTGTGGCGTGTCGATCTCATTGGTACGTCCAGTAACAACAGTGTTCGTTTGGTTTGCTGTGTTTACAGGAACAGTGCGCCGGTTCCTGGAGAACCATGGCAACAGCATCGACTCGGTGGTGTTCGCAGTGTCAGACACAGAGGAGGTCTGTATGACACCGATACATACTGACGCTACAGAATTATTCACAAACACTAGAAGACAATACATTCAAGCAAAATCTGTGTCAGAAATTGTGTTTGGTCTACGTTTAAATGTTCAGACACTGTGTCAGCGTGTCAGAGTGACTCAGTAAATGATTGCTCATTGTTTTTGTTTTGGTTGAGACATTGCTGCTGCTGTTTTTTTGTTTTTTTAATTTGGACAATTATTCCTTCCATTTTTGGATGCTGTGCAGATGGTGTTGTTACGATGCGTCTCCCTGCCAACAAGGTGTTTTTACAGCAAATTAGCACATCAAAAGCTGAAATAGTACCTGAACTTTGACCCCAAGTCCAGGTAGAGTTGAAAAAGGAGGCTTCACGGAGAAAGTTTAAACCATCTCTTCCACTGATCTTATCCTCAACTCCAACATTTCTCTCAACATCTGTTTGGTTTTTTAACCACACAGCCAGAGAGGAGCGGCAAAAGCAAATGAGGTGGATTAGCACTCACAACTTTGTTTTGTGCAGTTTTCTACTACATACTACTGTGTGATATTGTTTGGAAATTGAGCAGTTTGCAGTTCTTAATAGTCTTCAGTCAGAAGCCGCTTCAGACTTGTGTGAGACTGACTGCTACTGGATCTCCTTCCAGTTCACGGCGTCACCATCTGCGTTAAAACTCTGAAAATACTTGGATTATAAGAGTTACAACAGTATTTAATTTCCCTTTTGGGATCAATCAAGTATTTTTGAATTGAATTGAAGCAGTGCGTTAGAATCATCTTTTTTTCTAAAGGGGGTGAATAACGTTCAGCGGTTCTCTCTAAATGTCTGTAAATACCCCAAAAAACAAAACAAAAAACACTGAGATGGATGTGTGTGTGTGTTTAGTCTGCGTACAAGAAGCTTCTCCCGCTGTACTACCCTCGCTCCGAGGAAGAGGAGCGGCGCTGCCTTCCTTTCATCCCGGCTGACATTGGCAACTCGGAGGGCGAGCCCGTGGTCCCAGAGAGACAGATCCGCATCGCAGAGAAGCCAGGCAGCCTGGAAGGTACGTTCTCCCATCATTGGAGCAGAACAATCCGTTTGCCAAGGGTGGAAAAAAAAAAAAAAACGTCATTATTTCTCAGATGTTCGGTATCAAGTTTGGGGAAACGGAATCAGATCAAACATTCGTTCCTTTTGGCTAAGAAGTCAGCAAAACAAGCAGACTCATGCACAATTTGGTATTTTTCTCACTTCCCGTCTTCCCTCTCAAGAGAAACATGATTTTTTCAAAAAATATTACAGATGTAGGCTTTTTTTATTTCGGGTTTAAAACAAAAAAAACCCCAGAAATTAGTGACACAACAGCAACAGCTCATAGGTTAGAAATGTTCCTTTCTCAGGATGAAGTGTGGAAGCAATTCGATGTGTCAGTCAGACGGTGGAAACAAATCTCACACAGATGGAACCAAATCTCCTGTTTCCTGCATGGAGCCGAGTGAGCAGAAGTGAAGTGAGGACAGAGTTCATCGAAAACCGTAATTATCAGTCTAGCTTTGGAAACCTGCATTTATGAAACTTTGAGGTTGAATATCCAGATCACTTGTGACTTTTGGACTTTTTTTATTTTTATTTTTTGGCTAAAAAAAACCAAAATGTAGTCCAGTTCTTTTGGGCTCATCATCTTGTTCTCATAATCTCCTGAAGATAAAGTTCTGAGAAAGAACTCGGTTCTAAAATGTCTTTAATGACGGTTTAGCAGATAAGTGGAGATTATCTGAAAACAAGAAGCACATAACAGAGATATCTGAAAATGAAACCAATCAAATGTTTTTAGATACTCTATTTTTTAAAAAAAAAGTTCAACAAAAAGATCGAGAGATTCACTGATGGGGCTTTGGAAGCGTTTTCTGTTTTCTTTGAGTAACAAGCTGCTAGTTCTGGATTAATTTCAACTTTTTTCTTACTGCGCACAGAAGAATAAACCTGCCGCAGATTTTTGGGTAGGTTAATGGTTTTGAATCCAATAAGAACCAAAATAATCACAAGATTATATTCATGCATGAAAGCTTATGACTCTAACCTCTATCTGGTTTTTATTTTAAAAAAAAAGTGCTTTAAAGTCTGTGTTGTTGGGTTATGGGTTTCTCCACGTAAAATTGTGGAGGTTCTCAGTTTTAATGCATTTAGTGATTGGAGAAAAAATATCAGATTATTCTGCATTTGAGCGGCAAATCACTGATCAAAAGCGATCAAGATAAAACGGGCTGAATATTATTTTCATTTCCTTTCGGGATCAATAAGGTACTTTTGAATTTGAGTCTCTAACATTGTCCTCCACTCACACAATTAACAGAATTTTATTGTTATTAGTAAAACATAATAAAAGTTTTCTTTCTGAAAATCTGGATTTTGAAGATATTAAAGTAAGGGGAAAAAAAGTGGATCAAAGGTCCCAGGGCGCCCTGTGGTCACAAAAAAATACATGTCACAATTCTTGATTTTTCTATCTGTAAAACTATGCCAACATGAAAAAAATAAGATGAAAATATAAACTGTAGCGTCCAGGAATGTGGTGGGTTACAAATTTAATTTAATTTAATCGCTAAACATTTCTGATGCTGCTAGCATCTTTGTTTAGTGACAAATTGAATCCCACTGTTGAGCATTATTATTTACAAATAGAAAGGTGGAATATGACTCGTTTGTTTTTATGTAATCTGACTGGAGTCGATGTTGCTGGTTTGACTTGAGGGAGAGCAGAGCAGGTTTCTTTATGAGAGCAGCGTTTGAGCACCGCAGCATCACAGTGAAATGAAACTCTCCTGCTCCTACTGAAGCATTCATTTTCGAGGTATCTCGAAGGAATCGATCCCTCGTTATCCCAGGAAAAGCGCATATGCAGCTGTTTGCTCCTGACAGAAACGAGTCAAAGAAGCACAAAATATCAGCCGAGCCCCCCGCTCCGCCCAAAGCTCCATGTGCTCAGCAACCTGCGTGACCTCTGGAGCTGCATGCGCTCTAATTGTTAGGTTTCTGGGAGCTGGACTGTGAAAGCCAAAGCCATTGTGTCAGTCAGTGAGGTAGAGCGTTTTCCAACTTGAGTCTGTTGTCTCCATTGACCTGAGCCGTGATGTCTTCTGGCGCAGAGCTTCAAAGTTGGGAGATGTGGCTTCAGACGGTGGATCCAAAGTAAGCAGGCTTGCTGCAGAGGAAGCCCAACAACAGCCTCTCACACACACACACGAACACACACACACACACATGGCTTTGTCAGCGCTGATCAAATGTTCACATTGCATGTGGTTGAGGAGGGATTGAAGCGGTGCCTGGATGCGGTCTTGACTCTGATGGCACACAAATAATGTCATATGCATCTGTGTCTGTGTACTGCAATAAATGAGAACAAGCAAATATTCTGACATGAGTGAGGTAAGCAGGTTTGTGTTTTTGAAATAAACAGAAAACAGACTGCAGGTAGGAAGGGGTTTCGTTTCTGTGAGGAGCCTCATTTAGGTCCAACAGGATCCGCACATTCTTAAAAGACTTAAATAAAGTAAGAGCTTAAAATGTCTTAATTTTTTTTTTTTGAAGTAAGATGGGTTAACCACAGGTCTTAGATTTAATTCTGTATGTTCTGTGCATTTTTCTTTTTTCTCATGTGAGTTTTCTGTCCGGCAAACTTTGAATCGCACTCAGTATGACTCGAGATGATTGAGGCTACTGCTAACTCACTGCTAACATACCCTCGCTAGCTAGCTAGCACATTTACCAGCAGTTGGCTGGACAATGTTTGTACATTTCTATGAAAATATAGGTCTTAAATTACATTCATAATGGTTCTTAAAAAGTCTTAAATCCATTTATCTAAAATTAAGGCCTTAAAATGTACTAAAATTTTTTTTTTTTTTTTCAAAGTAAGTTGAATTTTGTCTTTATATGACAAAATTCAACTGGTATATTCAATATTTATTTATTGTCATGTGTCTTTTCTCTCTGGCAAAAATGTGCGCTATGCCGCCGCTAACTAGCCAGCTAGCAAATTTATCGGCAGTTGTCTGGACAAAGTTTGTTCGTTTCTGTGGAGATGCGGGTCTTAAATGGCTGTTAAGTCTTGAATTTGTTGGTGAAACCTGCAGAAACCCTATATGATCTTTTTCTGTCCAGATGAGCGTGAAGAGGAGAGCCTGGAGCTGGATTTGGGTCAGGTGGGGAATCACGCCTTCGCTCGGATGGAGGGCGACGTGGACAAGCAGAGGAAGCAGATCCTCCAGGGCCAGATGTCTGAAGCAGCCGTACAGAAGCAGCACCAGAGAAAGTAAGAGTCCCAGCAAAGGAAATATTTGCTGAAAAGCATGTCTCCAGCTAAATATATCCCAGATTATTCATATTTCTTTGAAAAACTATAAATACCAATTTTCACCACAGTCTGGCCCGTTTTCTTGCCTTGACAGCTGATTAATCATTAGCATTACAATCAGAGGTGATGTCACACTGTGTGTGTAAGAAAGCATTTACTGTGAAACAGGTTGTTACTAATTTAAAACAGAGATTCAAACTCTTGTGTTAGCTTGGTTAGCATTACTCTCTCTGTTCTCTTGAAATGCCACTCATGTCTTAATTGTGAGATTTCCAATTTCTGCTAATTCAGACAGAGGTTGGAAATGCAAAAGAGTAAATTGGATAAACTTTGCTGTAATTTACACTGGTGGTTTTCTAAGCTTTCCTCGCAGTCACTTTGCGTGTCCGGCACTCTGACAGACTGGACCAAGTGGAAGAACGGCCGACACCAACAGGCTTCCTACTGTAGCAGCAAACAGTTTTCTTTAAAATATCTCCTTACTTGTCTGTAGTTCCTCTGACTTGTAAATACCTTGCAGATATCCTCCCACATTACCAACCTCTGCACTGAAGACTGTTATTGATGTTTGTGACGCGGAAAAAGGCATTTCTGTTGCAGTTTGTGAAACACACATTTTGGTACGGTTGAAAACTCTCAAAAACCTTTTCTGAAAAAAGAGTTCTTTCGAAACTTCCATGAAGCAAATATGTGTTTGTGATTCCAATTCTGTGGTTAATGGGAATACGGCTATTAATGCACCAATCAGAAGAATCTTGAAGATTGGTTAAATACCAAGCAAGTAAAGCCTGATACTCAAAAATAAATTCGCACAAACAAACAGCTTGTTCTTTAAGGTACTGCAATAATATCAAGGATCTACGCTTACAGAGAAGATCATCTTTATTTCTTGGCAAGTGTTTTGTGATATTTGATTGTTGAAATAAAACTAGGTTTATACTAAATTAGCATGCTTTAATACCCTTGTGAAGAATTGGAAAACAGAAAACTGGAAAATTGGCCTCAACAAAAAAACAAAGAAAAAGAAGCGATTGGTGCATTTCTCTACACATCTATACTTGTATTTCTTGCTACCATTACTTCAGTTAGTGCAAAAGCAGGTGTAGAAAATAAAGAACGCCTCAGGAGGAATCCCAGATGGATTTTGAGAGTTTTTGGTGTAACTCAGAACCACCAAACTGAAGGACCTGCCGCCTGGAGAGCTTTGATTTCCTCCAAACCGCAGCAGAGATGATTTGAAGCCGTCCAGCATCAGTCACCACTTCAAAGAGAACCTCAGTTTTACCAGAAGTTGCAGGAGGTTTTATGTTTCTGTGCAAGTGCTAGTTGCGTTACATCCACTGTGTATCAAAAAGCAACCTTTTCTCTTTCTTTTTTGTTTCCGTCTGTGTGTGTTTGGGTCCTGCAGCTACAGTCGCTGGCTGTGTCGAGCGAGAGCGGAGGATCTGTCAGACATCGCTGCGCTGAAAGCCTTATATCAGACCGGTAGGTGGGAGAGGCTGCCAAAATATCTACTGTGCAACCTCCTTCGGGAGCCAATAGTAATTTCATGTTCTGTATTTGAAGACTATTGAAAGTGTTTTCACGTTACAACTTCAAACCTCCCAAATTTCATGTTGTAGACCAACACACAGATGCAAAGCTTCTTGATTTGATGGGTGCTTCATCTTGGATTTTAACATTCCCACACATCTAGAAACGTTCAAATGTTTTTCTTCATGCTCTTTCCATAAACAGCTTTACAGGTTGAGCTGTTCAACAGGTTCTTAAACTGGGGTCTAAAATGCCAAACAAGCTCTCAGATTGCTACTTTTTTAGGAGAGATTCACACAAAACACCTTCAGACGTTTTCAAGCTGAGAGGAGAATCCCATTTGGTGTGGATCCCTGAAAATTTGATTGGGGAAAAATTCAAGAGTTCTGGATTGTAAAACACACGATTGAAGCTAAAACGTCTCATAATTGTGTGACTTAATGGTAGCGGGACGATAACAGGTAGATGATTATGATGAACGATAATATTGTTGCTTTGAGACCATTTTTAAATCATATATGGTATAATAATGAAAGATGAGTAAACTTTCATTTTGTACAGAACATACAGCTGGGAGATATTTTACATGTCCAAAATAAAACACAACAATAAAAAGGAAAAGAAGCAACTTGTAACCAAAACCATACGTAAAGTGTATTATGGAATCTCTGTAAATGGAATGACAGAGCATTATGTCCAATAACAAGAACGGAAATTATTAATCAGTTAATGAATTGCTTATTATAGCAGACATAAGTAGGACCTGACAGTTCTCCCTGAATATTATGTTCAAATGGAAAGTTGTCAAAAATACTGGATGAGGATCTAGAGATGTAAGTCAATAGAAATATTGAATTTAGTTATGTAAAACATAGGAACCCCGAAGACATAAATAATCCAACATGATCCTTCTGCTTAAATTAAAATCATCTTGTTTGCCGTTTTTGTTGAATGGAAAGAATCAGAGCAACGAATCCAGACAAAACCTGCAGTCAGTTACTAAAGCGTCTTCCCTCTGCATGCTGTCAGTGAGTGGAGCGGTGCGTCAGAAACCAGCGTGTGTGTTGAGTGTGTGTTGTGGCCCAGAGCCTCTAATGTGGGTTTGCTAGAGATCAACCGGGTTTGTTTGTTTCTTCAGCTGTCAGGTGCAGCTGCTGTTCGTCACCAGGAGGGGGCAGTGTTGTTGTTGTTGCTGTTGTACAGTCCTGCATCTGGTTGTAGGATGTCCTTTTCGACGTGACACCTTTATTTACTGATTATTTTTAAACGAGGAAACGTTTAGAATAAATATTTAATGGTTATAGCAGAAGCTGAATTTCTTTCCCTTTTCACAAGTTGCATTTCTATTATATTACATTTCAAAAGGTGGAAGTCCAGCTAGATGGAAACAAAACGATTGGAGGCATGTTGCTTCGTCACCCTCTGTTTTTATTTTCCTAAGTGTCACTTGTTTTGTTTCTTTTTGTCGTCAAACATGACCGACTTGTGGCGGATTCAGTGAGACTGCAGACGCCGTCGCTCTGTGACCCGAGAACAGAAAGCATGCATTCAAATTGGATTTAAGCAAACTCTGCTCTGAGAGCAGTTTCAGACGTGTCATGAAGTTCAAGCATGAAGTCGGTGGTTTGATGTGCCGGATAACCGGGCCAGCCTGTTTTCACGCTGGGAGACTCCCTCGGCTTTTTCTGCAGCGACTCTGTTGCAGACGCAGAACTTCTGATGTTCGCTCTGTTCTGGGTTTTTATTTATTTGTTAAAATATAATTTATGTGGAGGTTTTTTTCCTCGTCTGTTTTCCTCTTCAGGGAAAAAAAGAAAACAACAAAATGATGTAATAAATTACTCGAAACGCATTTGTGGCCAGTATTTCAGTAACGCTCTGAGCTGCTCATCCTGATTTTACTCGATTCTGATTTCTGCTGAAATAGCAAAATATTTGTTCATAACTTCTGGTTTAATGAATCCAGGAAGAGATGATACTACAAAATATAAAAACAAATAGCCTGCTTCTCTCTGCTTCATTGAAAAGAGGTGCTGGCACACATAAATCTTACTATAGACGCATACAGTAGAGAGTGTTAACTTTTTTTTTATGTCTTTTTGATAATATTAATCTTTTACAAGATATTAATCTTGTTTCTGCTAGATTTTGTGTCCAGCCTGTTGTTTGAGAGCAAAAAGCTTCAATGTTTTATTGTTTGTACCGCTAAATGATCTATTCATTTATTGAATTTATATATAAGACTTAAAAAGCAAATGTTAACAGTTGGCATAAATGTTAATTGTTTACATTATAGACTGTTTAGCGTTTTATGTTAGCAATTAGCAGTCTGACTTCCCGATTGGTCTGAACAGCTCACCAGGAACTCACCACATTTCCGGGCGAATTCTTGAAGGTGAAACTTTTACCAGCGATTTTGTAACATTTCTGCTTGTCTGTTAGGTGTGGACATATGCGGCAGGACGGTGATGGTGGTAGTCGGACGAAACATCCCAGTAACCCTCATTGACCTGGAAAAGGTTCTTTTTAAAAATCTTCTAAGCACTTTTCGGGGTCAGACTGGCCCAATCGTTCTTCACTTTGTGTTTTACAGAGCGGGTTTTTTTTTTTTTTAAATCGTTTCTGTTTTCCGTTTAGGCCTTACTGTACTTCATCCATGTGATGGATCACATCACAGTGAAGGAGTATGTGATCGTTTACTTCCACACGCTGACCGGAGAGCACAACCATCTGGACTCGGACTTCCTCAGAAACCTCTACGACGTCGTCGACATCAAGTCAGTCTGAACTTTTTCTCTCCCGAGTCAAACTGAACTCAGAGTTTCAACTCTTATTGAGTCCATGCTGGGGTTTGATCCGCCAACAGTTTATGATGGTCTTCATTTGAGGCTTGATAGACTAACTAGCTTCCAATTGAAGATGTTGAAACCGATCAATACTTTTCTGTTGGCAGCAGTGCTACATTTTAAAGCACACAAACCCTCTTTAAGCTGAAAATAGCAGATAATTAAAACCACCAACACTCTTCAAAGATGTGGTAGCTGAGCCAGGCTGAGTAATGGAGACCATAGCCAACTAGCTAACGACTGTAATAAAAGAGATGCAGAGTTTCCTTTAAGGAGTGTCTCACTCAAAGACGACATCAGTGTGTTTAACACACTGAACTTCAAAGGGAAGTGGCAAAAACAAATGAGCTGGATTAGAACTGCTTGCCAGAAACTGTTTACAGACTGTTGCTGTCTTCAGTCAGAGGTTTTTTTCTGATTCATTGTGAAACTGACTGCTACTGTTGGTCCTTCCTGCCCACATTACAGGATCTGTAAACGAGTTATGGCAAAATGTGATTTTCTTTCGTTGAACTGAGTTGATTTGAACAGTTCATTACTGTTGAACTGTTTTGTTTGAGAAGAACTTACTTACTCTAAATTAAATGCACTTTTTGCTTTAAGACACCAATCACGGCTAATCGTTCTTTTGGCTGCAACGATTTCTAGTTTTTTTATACTGAAGATCGGCTAAAAACAGTCAGAGATCTTTAATGATTCATACCCGACGAACGTGATTTGTTCTTTGGTTTCTGACATGCTGGGTGCAGACTCCTAAAATTCTGACTGACAGTGAGTTTTTGTTCTTCTCACTGCTGCTCAGAGTTCATCACATGTGATTGACTGTTCATCCACATGTTTTTGTTTTTCCCCAGCATTGACCACTGTGCTCTTCCTTTGAATCTCAGTCACTCTGGCTTTTAAAGTTGTCTGTCTTTCCACTTCCTGATCTGATTTGGATACTGTAATTTTTTAAGATATCGGTTCTGTTTAGCTGAATACTTTCCAGCAATTCTTGTCCCTTTTTTTCGTCCGCATAATTAATGTGGTCTGTTTTAGTCTTTAACTAAAATTATATTTACTCAAGATTTCACACCATTACTTTGGATGGGTTTTTTCTCCTTCCTTTTCTAACACAAACTACCTTCACAGAAGTCAAATATGTATTTATATCCACACACAAACAAACTTCCTTCCATAATAACTTCAAGAAATTTTTGGGTGACCTGTGGGAATCTCCATGCAGCCACTACACCTTCAAACACAACATGCTGCTGTCTATAAATATTCATTGGTTTGTTTTCACCAAGAGTTTCTCATTCATTTTCTATCTGGCAACTTTTGCCACTAGTTTCACTTCATGTGAGAAGTTCACACGAAGGACGACAGTTTTGATTTTGTTTTATGCGAGCGACCTGTTCAGATGGCGGACGGGCCGGGTGCAGCTTTGGGGCAGCCGTCTCAGAACATGGATGAAAACTCCTCCGTCCCACTTCCCCTTTCAGTGGAGCAGGGAAAGCCCACGCAGTCATTCACAATAACGCGGAGCGTCTTCACGCTTTCGCTGATTCATCACAGACCTCGGTGAATGCAGGTGGAATGCAAATTATGAATGTCTCCTGACATTTCATTGTGACATGTATCTATACATCCTACATGGCCACAAAAAAGCTCCAGGCAGAGATTGCTTTGCTGTTTGAACATTTTTTTGAATGACATGATGTAATGTACATGCCAACATTTAGCTAGAAAAGCTACTTCCTGTTGGAGGTATTGTCATGATTCCCTGTTTCCTAGCAGGCAGCAGACTCATTTTGGCTTAGCATGACTTAAAGTTGCACTATGCAACTTTTACATATTTGTTAAAACTCACTATGTCATGACAGGATAGCATGGGTGAAATCCCCTCACCTGAAAGGCCGGGTCGGGGTTCATCATTACGAATTGTCATAGAGATTTAGGAAAAACTAATAGTGGAAGAGAGTTAAGAATAAAGTTATGACATGCTTTATACAAAACATTTAGAAAAGAGCCAAAAATCAGAGTCTGAAAAAATGTAAAAGATGGATAATTGCTTGTGGCCGACATCATAAGCAGCTGAATGCCACAGTGATCGACGGTGTAACTGCAACATGTTCGTCTGTATGGAGGGTTTTGTCAGCGTGACATCATTCGCTTTGTGGTTAAATCAGAAATGAAGGCTTCGGGCCGGGTCCAAAGCAATAAATGTGTGCTGTGCTACAAATGGGTGCAGTGTCTTTGTAAAGCAGCGACTTCAGGCATGTGGCGCAAATATTCATGCACAGCCTGATCAAAACCGTTCAGGTTTGCTCTTTGCATATCATAAAGTAACAATCACCTGCACATCTACACAGAGGATGAGGCTTGGATACAATGACAGAAAACATAGCAGGTCAAATGTTTGGCCGGAAAATGAGCTGCAGATTATTGCTGCGTGTTCCACAAATTTACGGTCTCACATGAAACGCGTTTGTTTTTGGCAAAAGCAAATCAGTGCTCCTTATATAGAGTCTTTTAAGATCAGGCTCCTGGGCTTTAACGTCAATTTCTCCATGGTTTCTTGCAAAATAACTTTATGGACCCGTTCAAGCCCCCCGGCCCCTATTTCCTTTGCCTGTTTGTTGACTGATGAGGCAAAAAATGCCCCACCAAATAACATCGGGTCATAGCGTGAGCTTCACTACCTTCACCACAACTTTGTTTTTCTGTCCGAGGTTTGCTCTGCCCGGGTTACGCTTCTGCATGGGTGGAGCGATCTTGCCTTGGCGTCGTTTCAATTCTGTTAGCAGTTTTCTTTGGACCATAGAACAAGCGATTACATTCACTTTGTCCTGTGAGAACTGATGTGCATTTGGGCAGAGCAGAAAAAGGTTTCGAGTCCTGAACTCCCGGTCACACAGGGAGAGTCCCTGTCCAGTCAATGCCTTTCACACTGAGTGGTAGAGATCACTCAGTGTGTGTGTGCCAGGGAACACACCCTCCTACACACCTGAGGACTCGGTCCACCAGAGGGATTGTGTTCCTCTTGGGTATTTCTTTGCTACTTCTATTTGGGCATCCCCACACACATCTGTGAGGCTCTATTGTCTGTACCTGACTCGTTTTCTTTGGTTCACTGTGAAGTTATTGTGGGGTCTTATGTCCGTTGACTAGTCCTTGTGGTGATCCACTTTCCGTCCCTCAGTCAACCCTCATGTTATCAATTGGGTTCAGTAAACCTGGGACTGGGCTTCTCCTGTAGAGGGTTGAAAGAGATCGTGAGTAGGCACTGACCTCCTTGTATTTGTCATGTAGACTAAGTAGGTCGAACTGGTGGTAGTTGAGCCTCCATGCTTGGTCACACCAGAGGTTATAAATTTGGGTTATTCTGGTTTAAATAAATCCCTTCATCATTTTACATCCACTTTACAGTTATACAACAACTTTACCTTGGTCTGTCACATGAAACATTGGCTGCAAAATATGTTCAAGTTTGAGGTTTAATGTGACGCTTGAAAACATCTTGAAGTATTTTTGCGGGGCATAGCAAGCGCAAAGAGGCAATAAACACAGATCAACATTCTGGGCACCGCCAGGTTTTCTAATGTCAGATGTTCATGGCATGTCATCGATTTCAAAGCCCCAGTTGTTGAGAGGAAGTCAAGAACCGTGTCTGTGTGTTGGTTTAATCTTAAAGCAAAAACACCGAGGTAGCTACCACCTTAGCATCGGTTTGTGACCTCAGCAGTGCGTCTCTGCTGTTTGCAGACTCGGATACTGCAGAGAGTTATGCTTATCTCAGTTTAGTTCATTTAGCGTCGACCTCTTGACTCCAGCGAATGGCTCAAGATGTCATAAAATGATGAATCAATCTCAGCTAGGTGTAACAAAGGAATTCACCAAACAGCTGCCTTGTGAATCACGTTAATGAGAAAGACTCATGAAAGATGTTTGAGGGTTTTTACCAACTTTTCAGCAATTCAGCATCAACAGTGGCCACATTTGTTCTGTATCTGTTCTTATTGCTGCATTTGTTGATGATCGATCACTTTCTCTGACACCCCCCCCCCCAACTAGCCATGGTTACAAAAACATCGACTGAGCTCACACGGCTGATTCTTGTTCTGGCCCGTGGACCAGATCTGTGGACACTTTTTGACTAAACATGTGTCTCTAATTGCTGGGAGAATCGGGAAGCCGCTTCAATTTTAAAATGACATAACTTGGGTGTTCGGACGTTGGCCAGAGGCTGTTATGTGGAGAAGCCTATTTTATATCCGTCTTTACTTGTTTGTCACGTTTTTTTTAATGAGTTGTACATTTTCAGTGAGCAACACAGACACTGTGGTCTCTGTGGGAAAGCTGTACGACTGTGTGGTAATTGTTTCATCGCTGATGGACAGGTTGGAGCTGACTGTTGGGAAAATTTGTGGCTCTTGGACCTCAAACCCACACTTTTAGAAGCGCAGCTACAGTGACTTCACTTTGCACATGTTGTTTTCTTAATATATTGGTCATCTCATCCTTTCCATAGTCTCCAAGTTCACACTGATTCCTTTTGTTTTTACTTTAAAAGCGAGATATGAGACGGATTCTGTCTCATCTCTGCTGTTTTTTTGTTGTGTTGCAGGTATAAAAAGAATCTGAGGGCCTTTTATTTTGTCCATCCGACGTTTCGCTCAAAGGTAGGAGTCAGCGCCTTCTCTGCACTTTTTTTTTTAGCTTCCTGCCAAGTTTCTAATTTGCAGATGCCTTACGGTGGAGCTGGTGTTGATTTGGAGGAAAGACTCTGCAACAGTGGGATTAAAAACAAACAACAACAAAAAACCCAGATCATCCATTACCTTTATTAGTGCCAGGTTAAGACGGTTTTCAAAGTATGCAGGTTTTCTCTTTTAATAAACATTTAAATAGCTGTTAAAGCAACATTTTCAGTTACAGTAACAATGTTGTGTTTCTGCCCTGATGCTCAGACCTGATGCCACTCGTAGTCTAGCAACCATAGTTTTTACTAACTAACAGGTTTCTGCACAGTAACATTTTTTAATTTGCAGTGAAAATTATTTCCTATTTGTCATATTATTATAATTTTATTCTCATAATGTTGAACTCGAAATATTGACCTTATTCTAATATAACTTCAGCTTTATCCCCGTATTACGACTTTATTTTTGCACAAGTTTATTCTTGCAACAATATGAATTTATTCTTGTAATTGTATTACTTTATTCTCATATTTTTGTTTCATTTTATTTTATTTTTTTATTTGTATGACCTTAATACTCTGTTGTAATTTGGTCCGAGTCTGAGAAACAAACTTAAATCATTTCACATCTGCTAAAAATGGTCTTCAAAAATTCTGCGTAGTCAGAAGTTTTTCAGTTTAACCTCAAGCGTAAAACAAAACTAAGTTTATTTAATTAATCAACACAGTGGCAACAGCTAAATTTCACCTGTAATCCTGATATTGAGGAGCTGATTACGACCTTTATTAACTTAAATCATCTCCTAGTTGTGAATAATGTTTTTCTTAAAGTTTCACCGTTTTGCCAAATGCAGTTTTATTACGCAATCTGCACCACTTCCATCGCAATTAGATGCTCACCGCAGTCAACACACAAAATTTTCTACTTCTAAATATTTGCCTTTTTGGCAAGTAACATTCCCGCCTGAGTGCATTCTGGTTTATGTTCGTTTCTTCATTGTTTAGAAGCTTTTGCAAACGGCAAGGCTTTTGTTAGGATCATTAAAGGGCCATTAGATTTAACCGACTTCTGCTGTTTTCTTTAGAAAGCTGTATTTACTTTATCGTACGTTATGGTGGGTTAACAATCTCAGTAGCTCCAAATAAACACGAAACACCATCCGTAACGCCGTTGTTGTCGTCGTGTCCACTCACTGCGCAGGTCTCCACTTGGTTCTTCACCACCTTCAGCGTGTCGGGCCTGAAGGAGAAGGTCCGTTACCTGGACAACCTGCCGCAGCTCTTCACCTGCATCAAACCCGAGCAGATCGACATTCCTCCGTTCGTCCTGGAGTACGACGCACGAGTAAGAACTCGTGCCAAGAACGCTTCACAGGGAGAAATGTGAATGTGGTCTTTACCAGCTGGTTTAGGGAAAAACTCTGTAGTTCATTTTTTTGTGCAGTAGTGTGAAAATCTACTTGCCACCTGATTTAATTTTTTTCCCCCACACTTAAAACTGCAGTATGTAGATAATATAACATTTGTTTCTTGCATATTCGTTGAAACTGTCAGTAAGAGGCAGAGAATGTGTAAAAGGAAAAAAAAGAGCTCCTCCATCATCTCCCACTAACAAGAAACAACCAATCAGAGCTAGGAGGCGGGCCTTAGCGCCGTCAATCACCTCTTTACTTCCTGTTCTCTGCTTGCCTGTCCTGTTGTGAATGCTAAGGCCAGCTAGCACGACCACACATAATGGCGGAAAAAACTTTTTCTGTAATCAAGTTGTTGCTCTGCCATTAGCACATTTAGCAGCTTACATTAGATTGGTTGACAGCACTAAGACCCGCCTCCTGGCTCTGATTGGTTGTTTTTGTTGCATTTCCTCAGATGGCAGTAGTATCTGTGAGGAAGGAGGTGGAGGAAATTGATCTTTTCACAGATTATCTGTCTCATATTTTATTGTGATGAAATTGTGACAGTTTTAATAAATATGTTAAGAGAAACAAACTTTTATTTTTGTAAAATAAAAGTTATATACAACAGCTTTAAATAATTTTCAGATTAAATAAAAGTTTAATGTCAGACTGACATTATTCCGTTAAATATTGTCAAAATGATGTTGTTTTAATTATTATTTATTAAGGGGTAAAAAGCCATTCAAATCAACCTGGCCCTCTTTGGAAAAAAATAAATACTTTGACTAGGACAGTTTCCTTTCCATTCAGAGGTGGACGACCTGATGTGCTTCAGATCATTGTCCTAATCCATAACCCAAATTAAGAAGTAATGTTTTCACTATTTATAGCTGGTTACTTCCCATCCATCATACCTCTACCACCGTGCTTGACTGTAGGCTTGCTGTTCTTTCCTGAAATGCTTGGTGGGTGATGACGTTTTGTAGAAAGGGCCACGTTGGTTTGAATAAATTTCTCCCCAAGAAAAGTACATTTTGTATCTATTTTAGCTAAATGGCCTGAAACATCTAAACATACTCAAAAATGAGGAAATCTGTAAATATACCAGCTCTGGTTGGTATCTTACATCACTTTCAAAGCTTTTCTTCTCCTCCTCGCCGTTCTCTCCACATTCCTTCAGCTTGAAAATACAAGCCACTTTTTTTCCTAAATGACGGATGATGGCTGTCAGATCTGAATCTGGTGATCGTCTGAACTTTTCAGAGGCTGCAAACTGAAACGCTTTGCATTCTGATCTGAAATGATGAGCCTGCTGCCTTGATATCCTCCTCTTTGGTTCTGAATTTGCCCAAACCGTCAAACCCTAACACAGCCAGACTGGGTTCAGTCAGAGAAATACGTAGTTGGAGCCCAATTCTTACGTTTGAACGGGTTCACTTCCTTGCTTTTCCAAATGGAACGAGGCAAGGGAAGTCCACAATTTATAGCCCATTCTAATTTAATAACATTAAAACAAGCCTGTGTTTTGAGTCACCCAGGGTGAACATCCGCTCTCCATTTACTGTAATTTAATGCAACCCTAATTCGACACTGATTTTTCTGCGGGGTCTCCAAGGCCGAGCTCTGTAACGTGTTTACACCCATGTGCGTTTAATTCCAGGCACTTCTGAGTGCGCTTTTATCTCAGTTTGATATTCCTCCGAGATGACGGGAGGGAGGCGGGGGGTGGAGGGGAATTGATTGGAGTAATACGTGCTTGCTTTTCTAAAAATGTCACCTATTAATCAGCTTGCCTCCACATCCAATTAGAATGACGAAGTCCAGAGCGTTCTGTGTCGGTTCCCCGAACCGCGTCAAATCAAGGAATCCGCTAGATGTCTGAGTTAGATGTAGACAAAATAGCTTCTTGTTATTTTTGACCGAAAAGGGGGGGAAAAAGGTGTGTGTTTATGTTCTTTTGTGTTTATCCTTTATTGAGATGTTGTGATGTCTGCTGACGTGACATCTGATCCAGTTTAGCAAAGATGGCTTCCTCTACTACTCGCGTCCTATTTCTTCATTAAAAACATTCTGATCGCGAGACAAAAAATACATTCTTTAGATGCTTACAACAATTATAACAAGTCACATAAGGAGGATTTAATATCAGAATATATAAAAGAGTAAACAGGCTCAGGTTCAGAGTCATATAAATAGGAGCGCATCATTTGCAAAAAAAAAAAAGAAGCTAACTGGCAGGCTTGAACCAATGCTGCCCTTCACCAGCGTCCTGCAGTCTGAGCACAGACACGGCTTTGAGGAGGATCAGAACGCATCTGTAGGCAAGCAAGAAAATGTTTTTTTAGGAGTTTCAAGCCAGATTAGACGCATTTTGAGCTCCTTTGTTCCCTGCGAATGTCTGAAACAAACACAAGCAATCGTACAATCGCAATCTGAGTTCAGCCATCGCTGCGGCGGGGGGAGTGGATAGCGGATCCTGCAGTGGGAAGTTGATCCAGATGCTGAGAGCGGTGCAAGTTCATGAATTTAGAAGGCCAACACATGTCGAGTCGTTAGCAGCACAGGAGCTAGACTGCGTTTTGACGTCCAGAGCTCAAAGAAGAACTGAAAAGTGTCCTTGAGCGAACATCAGTCGAAAGAAAATTACACAGCTTGTTGTAAAACTGTCCCCCTCAAAAAAACAAAAAAGATATTCATAGTTATTTTTTAACACTTGATATTGCCAAAAGAAAAAAGTCATCCTGATCATCCAGGACCACTTGATTCTGGACATCCAGCTGTCGGTTCAGATCCATACTAGTCTGGTTGTGTAAATGAAAGAGATTCCACCTTCCATGTTCACAGATAAACATCCGGGTGTTTTTGGTTTGTCATCGATGTTTAATGCTTGGCCCAGGCACAGTACAAGTCATGAACCAGGGCGGAGGACCGTAACTGCGCCCCCAAAATCACTCCACTTAGACATCTACTGATAAAAACTAGCTTTTTGTTATTTTCTCCTTTAATCTCAGCTGACATTTTACCAGTCACGCCTCAATCCAGAGTGAAAGGATTACAAGTAATTGTGTTTACCCCTGGTCGCTGTCGTTTTCCTGGAAAGCAACCTGAAAAGCTGAAACCATTTAGGAAAATAGCTTAACATCACTGAAGATCCTCTATTAATGATACAAAGGCTAGGGATAGTGTTTCATAAAAACAACCCAACCCCAACAAAGAAAAAAAAAAGAAAAGCTCAGGATGATCTTAGCTTGTAACCTGGACGCTCACGAGCCTCCAGGTTCTGTGTTTGCTGTCGCAGAGCACAGAGCTTCTCCTGCGGCTCCAACAACTCAGATGCTGCACAGATTTGTGACATTTATCTCGTCCAACCTTTAGCTGTTTCTTGTCCTACGCACTTTGATTAAATGGTGAAACCGCCTCAGTAGCTTGCAGTCAGGCTTTGCAGAGCTCTGCTAATGAGCTAATATTGTAGCCAGGTGTGCTGAAGCAGAGACTCTGAAAGCTCTGGCTTCTCATGCTAACTGCGCACTGAGTCTGTCTTCTCTCCTGTCTCAGGTAAACGGACCGAACCATCCCAACGAGGCCTCTGGTCTGTGACAGGACGCCGGCTGGACCTCTTTGCTAGGCGGACGCCGTGAATTCAGCCCCTCTGAGGAGAAGTTCTTAATGGGCGTCAGACTGCCTGAGCGGTCTGAAATCACACGCTCCGTCAGGCTGTGAACCAGGGCGGGGAAAATCTCCGTTGACGTTTCCCGCCAAAACCGTATGAAGAGAGTCGTCTCAGGTCAGCGGTAGCGACCGTTTGTCGGCCCGGGATAGTTCCTGGATAATTCCTCGCATAAAGTCTTTTTCTCCTTTTTATTTATGTATTTTCTCCAGAGCAAATAAAGAGTCAAGTCACAAAACCTTTGACTTCACGTAAAATCACACCTTATCCAGCTGGTGGCTGAACACGGCGGCTGCGAGTTTTACTATTCAATGCAGTACATCGCTATGACAGCAAGAGGCGCTTAAACCAGAAAGTAACATAAAGTTAGAGCAGTAACTTCTCATCAGTCATATGCGTATGAATCAGAGGTTAAGTCCCAGACATGAACGCTTCAGTTTGCTGACGGCGTTTTCAGCTGCTCAGACCCACAGCATAAAATCTTGTTAGCCTTAAAAAAACCTTTTGTGTTCAAACTGAACGGCAGCCGACGAAACGTTGCGCGTCCGCCAGCGTTTAGAGTAAAACGAGTCCAAAAACAGACATTTATCCCACAAGTTATTTTTCCCTCCCCAGCTGATTGCTGCAGTCATGCAGTGGTTTCAATTCGTCGCTCTTCGTGTAAACCGATGGATGCGAGGATGCAGACGTTTGTTGCCTTAATTGCAACATTTTCAGTCCAACAGAAAAAATTACTTTTTGCTGCTTAGTTGAAATGAATTTTGCTCCGTTCATCTGCTCATTAAATAATCAGAGCCAAGAATTGACATGATTGTTCCCATACATACATCATGTTTTTTCATTCAACATCCTGGTCACTAATCAGGGCTGATCAATGGAAAATGAGCTGAATCACTCACTGAAGTAATTGATGCCGAGCTAAAACAGGCTGTCATCAGGAGTGATATTTGCAGAAAAGAAACTTAGCATCAGGAATAAACAGTTTTCTTGAGGAAGGACTGAGACTGATTGCGTCCCAATTTGTAAATACTGTTCATATCTTACAAACTGAATCAGACTTGTAGAGAAATCCCATAAATCTACCTATTTATTTAAACACACGTGATTTTAATTTTTGATTTTATTTGTAGAAATTCAACTTTGTCTCGTTATGTCTAAAACTAACTTCGGGCAACAATTTCTCCGGTTTTCTCAGTTTTCGTCCTCCACTGCTAAAACCATTTCGGTTCCATGTTTTTTGTTCGTTCGGTAAAGAAACGCTTGTGGATTTTCAGACGCGAGGTTCTGTGAATGCATCGTCTGTGATCGTTTTCTGACACAAAATCCTACTATTTCCATTGTGAATATCTTAGGACACTTGAAATGTAACAAAAGTAACATACAAGTAACTTTTCAGCAAGATACAGGAGCTTGTTTTAAGTCAATAATTCCACTGGCAGATCTTGTTTTTCCTTATAACAAGACATTTTTTCCATGTTTTCAGTGAAGAAAGTGGAGCTCCTGTAGTTCCTCTCATCAATATTTAGGGATTACTGACTTAAATAACCTCTATATCTTTCTGAAAACTTACTTGTAAGTTAGTGTTGTCTTATTTCAGGTCTACTAAGATATTAGCACTAGAAACTAGACCAAAATTACTTGGTAAGATTTTGTTTTTTTCAGTGACTGTAAATCGGAGTTGTGAAAGCCAACAGCTTGTAAAAATCACAACCTGTTTTCGCTCCTTTCATTCAGTTAAAGTGAAAGTGTTTGTCTTTGCGGAACATGCCGCTGGAGCTACACTTTTACAAGAAGCCATTAAGTTTGTTGCCTCTTTAACGGCCAACTGAGCTCTGCTCTCCTCGTTGCTGTGAGACATTTGAAAAGCAGAGGAACTGCGCTGCCTTTGGACGCTGTTGTACAAATGAAAACTTGTTCCAGAATACAAACTTCCTCCTCCCCTTGACGGATGAGTCTCGGCTCATCAAACGGATCGATGTTGGCTACAACGCAAGTTTGGGAACGATTGCTGATGATCGCTTCCCAGAGCCTCGGTGTAAAGCAAAAATCTAAACTCCCCATTTATTATTGTGGAGCTTTATTAGGGCTTCTGCTTCGGTGTGAATTTTTATCACCGTCTGTTGGGCTACCAGCTGATTTCTCAAGTTCGCCATCCAGGTGTTTCCCTTTCGTTTCAGCTCCGTTGGAAAGGCTTGAGCCTCTTAGGGTGATTCTCCTTCCTGTAAACGTTCTCATTTCCGAACGGATGAAACTCAGAAACTCGGCAAGAGATTCATCATAGGAAACGATGCTAACCTGCTCATTTATGAACCGAAGGCTTACAACAAAAACGCAGCCTTCTCGCTCAAGCATTTGTGCGTATGGAAGGAAAAATAAACTTAAACTATGCTGAGGACAATGAGAAGAAGTGCAGGTTTTGGAGGAAGACCCGTCTTACAATCACTCGCTTCACAAACTGTCGGCAGAACCGGGATTTTCTCACACGATGTTTAGCTGAGCCAATTTTTGACTTTACGGAAATGTGATCTTTTTTGTTTTTATAAAATGCATCTGTCATTTTATCGTTGTTGCTTCAGACTGTCCAAAGCTTTCAGGGTCTGAAGGAAGTCTCTTCTGTTTGGATCTTCCTCTTTTTTTATTATTATTATTTTGATTAAAAATCCTTGACTTTCATCAAAGCGTCTGGATCCTTCTGTCGTGATAATTGGAGGTGAAACACAGAGCCAATGGTAACTTTAAAAGAAATATAATTTTTGAGATGCTTTTCTTTTTTCTTTTTGTTTTCTATAAAACAAAAATGACCCGATTTTTGGTTTAACTTTAAATATTAGATTTTTAGAGATGCTGTGACAAACATTGGGGATCCCAAAAAAATGAGGGTTTTTGTCTTTAGAGTGAAAGCGCTGCATACAGTTTCCTATTTGGCCAATACATTTAAAAAAGTGAAGTACTTCGTCATTAGGAAAGCTCTCTGGTGATATGAAGTATGTACAGGATGCCAGGTGGTAATTGTACCAATTACAGGACATCATTTTGAGTTTTCATTTTCTGGAACAGTCTAGAAACCGCGAGGTAAAAACTGAGAATCTGGGGGGATATCAAGCTCCTCTGCCTTTAGATTTTTTTATTTTGTTAAATTGAATTTGACCTGGGCTCTGCCTGATTAATAGTAATTAATCGAAAATACACAAAGCAAATCTCCAGCCATTTCTTTACGAGGCACGCTTTGACGTTCTAAAACATAATATCTGTTAAGAATCGAATTACCAAAAGAAAAAAACATTCTCTGGATTGAAGCGTGCTAAAAACACATCAAAGTGTGTACTTCTCTGGGGTTTTAGTGCTGCTTTATATTTGTAATCATTCTGTCTCATTTTTTATTTTTTTATAGCAAAACCATGTTTTACAGTCAGTGCTCTTTCTCTGCTCTCAATATGAATAATTAAAATACATTTTCAATGCCGTTCTGCTAAAGATAAATCAGGATCTTACAAAACCCCAAGATTTAAAAAAAATCTGGCTGCTACTGTGCTTAGTTCATGAGACATAGAGGAGCTTTGATTCAGATGGAAGGAAAAGTAACAGCAGATTTCACTTGCTATGTGAAGACTGCAGGACGTTTTGATGTAAAGTAAAACACTGCTCCACTTCTTCTCCAGTTCTCGTCTGCTGTGGCTGGAAACGGAGGCACACTCAGTTCCACGCTCAAAGAGTGACTCACTGGAAGAAATGAAGACGCGTTTTAATGAAGGCCGTCTTTAATGTCATCAATGGCCGTCTTCTGAACAGTTCTCGGAAGTCGACTGTTACGGTTGGAAACAACAACAATCCGAAACCTCAACGCACGCCGTCTTGCCGTGAAAACCGGAAGTTTACATACGCAGCATCAAAATGCAATCACACTTTTTTTTCCTTCTCACAGTCTGAAGCGAAGGCAGAACAAACTACACTTGATTTAGGTCGGATAAAATTATCCAAATCATTTCTATTTGCTAAATGCCAGAAAACAGCGAGAAAATTTTGTAGAGATTTATTTCTTGGTGACTTTCCTTAAACTCTAACCTTTACAGACATGGTGGTTATGAGGGATGACTGTCTTTTAAAGTGTATGCGGTTAAATTCCTTCAGGAATTATCTAGTTTAACCTCAATTTCTTGTCTTCTACGCTGGTAGAGTGGCTCCTCTTACCAATTTCACTTGCTGTCGGTGGGATGTCAGCAGTGGAGCCTCCTGCTGCTGATATCTGTTCAGTGCCGTTCTGCTAAATATTAATCAGGATCTTACAAAACCCCAAGATTTTTGGGGCTGCAAGGGAATGTCTGTTTTTGGAGTATCTGTCTGTAGGCTTGAATTGATGACGATGAGAGTGGCAGGACAATCAGTCTGACCAGCTGACACATTATCAGTTCTAGAAAGTGTCCGAGGACGGTCCCGTCTCAGAGGTCGGTCCCGTCTCAGAGGACGGTCTCGTCTCAGAGGACGGTCCCGTCTCATAGGACGGTCCCGTCTCAGAGGACGGTCCCGTTTCAGAGGACGGTCTCGTCTCATAGGACGGTCCCGTCTCAGAGGACGGTCCCGTTTCAGAGGTCGGTCTCGTCTCATAGGACGGTCTCGTCTCAGAGGACGGTCCCGTCTCAGAGGTTGGTCTCGTCTCATAGGACGGTCTCGTCTCAGAGGACGGTCCCGTCTCAGAGGTCGGTCCCGTCTCAGAGGACGGTCTCGTCTCAGAGGACGGTCTTGTCTCAGAGGTCGGTCCCGTCTCAGAGGACGGTCTCGTCTCAGAGGACGGTCTTGTCTCAGAGGACAGTCTCAGAAAGCATGTTGAAAGTTCTTCCATGTCTTGTGAAGATAGTCTATTTGGAGATTAATTTTGATGGGACGTGACAGGGTTCTTTTGAAACACTGTAAGCCATTACCATGGCAACGGAACACACAGCAGGTAGCAGCATCGTCACAGCCGATGAACTGTGACGATGACCAGGAGAGGAAAAGAACTGAAAGAAAACTAAATGCATCAAATAAAGCAAATTGGGGATTAGTAGAAGGAAAAAGTGAGGAAAAGTGTGTAAGAAAAATGGCTTGTAACATGTTTTTTAATCTAAAATCTGTGACATCCACTGGTGTTCAGCTGTTTTTACTCTAGCACCACTAAGTAAAGATAAGATTGACAATAATGTTGTTTCTGAAACCTTTTGAGCACAAAAGTGGCTGAGAAACATCAAGCCGAGCACATAGGTCTGCTGTTGAGTTTGAAAAAAACGACACGGCTTTGAAGAGCTCATTCTGCGGCCACGTGTGGACGCAGAGCGGCCGACTGATTGTCAGGGACATTCGGGTTCAACTCTTCCTTTGAAGCCCTTACAGTTTCACATGAATCCTGGCTCAATAGAGGCAGGTCTGATCTCCAGATGACACACACAAAAAAGTAAAAACTGTCCACATTAGTAATTAATAACAGGGCACGATGCACATAGGTCTGTCTGTCAGAGTGCGGGTCTGGAGAGCGGTGCGATGACGTGTCTCCTCCGCAGAGTGTGTTCACTCATCCTGAGGGTCAAACCCAGAGCCGGGCACTCTGATGAGGCCGCGGCTGGGATGCCGTGCGTCTTCCAACGTCCGCATTTCCTGTCCCGCATCAAGATCTGAACGCTGATGTTGAGAATCACGCTGCAGCTCTGTATATCTTCAGGATCTCTGGCCAGAGCGAAACCTTTTAATCTTCTGCCCATTAATGAGCAAAAAGTCAGTTTAAATAAACAGGAGGAGGACAAATTCAATCTGTTAGAAAACATATGTTGTGCTTTTGGTTTCCATGAGAAACATATGGAAGTAAAAAAATCTGGACCGCAGCTCTGCAGCCAAACCCCCTGACTTTGATCGTTCTTGCATATTTTGTTACATCTATGTTTCAGATGCAATATGTCAGCAGTGTTGGGTTTTGGAAGCAAAACCACCTGTTACAGTAAATGCGGTACCGTATGTCTTCAATAAACCGTTTTATGGGAACCATGATCCGGTAATGGACGCCTTCATTAACCGGCCGCCTGGTGAGACGGTGGATGTGAACAAATTCATGACAAATATCTAAGGCGACAACCTGGATACCTTCTTTCATAAAACATTTCCATCATATTACCGACCTCTGTGTTTCTGAGCATTCATAGATCTCAAGGTCGACGGTGACAGAGTGGAGGTTTTCCATTCGCACAATTAGCAAAGAGCGTCTTCTCCTTTTTTATCTGTATGACTTGCAGCAATTAGGAAAAAAGAAATTATTATTGTTACTAATTACGTTGTTTTTATGCCTATTACAAAAAGCCTCGCACTCTTATTTTAGTAGACACTTCAAACTTCTTCTTTTTTTTCTTTTTTTTTTTTTACTGTTTTCACATCACTTTGCTACAGCCAGCAGTGTCTCCATTAGCATGTCCACTTCTGGAAAAAATGTCTCTTTTCTTGTGTTTGTTTGAAGTCGCTGCCATCGACGGTTTCCACGTCCGTCACAGCCGAGGCTGACGAAGCCGCAGCGAAAGTTTAACGTGAAAACCGTGAAACAGACATTCAGCCAGCGCCGTCTTTTCAAACGAAACCGAGTTGAATCCCGAAATCATGATGCGCAGCCACTTCTTTTCAATTTTCAGTGGGATTTGAGTCTCGCAGACGCCGGTGAGGCACGTCCTCGCATACCCAACACTAAGTCCTCAAAAAATATTTAGAGACAAAACGGATTGACTCTAAAGAGTCTAGTCATTTTCATGCACAAGAAACAAGTTTTCTATTTTGAGAAAACCCGCAGCAGGAAGCTTTGGTCACTTGGCTAACAGAAGTGAAAAAGAAATAGTTACAGATTCGCGTTCTGCGTGTTTCTGTCTCTGATTACAACCTGCAACAACAGCTGTTTGTAAGGGAAATGGTGACTACCAGCATACCAACTTCAAGCAGAAACAGCAGCAAAAGAGTTGATTTTTCTGCCTGTTTGGCTGTTTCCATAGACGTGATGCGGGATGATGGCAGCTAATGATAAATCAACTCAAAATCAAGACAGCACCAGAGGTCATTGGGTTCAACCTCTAATAATAAGCCCCTAATAATAATAATGATGATGATGATGATTCTGGGATCTGGGAACCCCAGATGTCTTCCGGCCAGTCGGCCATTAAATTTTATATGTAAAAGACCCAAATTATCTGATGAAGTTGTCATGCTAGTTTAAACAATTATAATCACAATATTTTCTCCTGCAGCACAAATGCTGCCCACATGTTTTTAAGACCCTTTCCAATTAACCATCACGCTTAAAGACATTTGTCCATCTCTACTTCTGGACTCCAGAGAACGACATGCCGTCTGAGAAGCAGAACGCATTTTTGCAGGGATAACAAGCGCAGCTGAAGGTGCGCCGGTCATCCGAGGTTGTCTGGGTTTGTGTCAGATTAAAAAAGAAAAAAGAAAGCATGCGGCAACAAAGTTCCTGCCGACGACACTTGTGGTGTGATTGATTCAGGACAACAGTGTGGCTAGAAACAGATCCAGATGTTAGGAAACGGGAAGGATCCAATCGCTTTTCCTTCATGAAGCCCAATCAACGTGGAGCTTGAACGCACCAGAGGGGAACCAAACAGCAAACCTTCATTAAAACATGCAAATATATGTAAACGTGGTCTTTGATTTT